ACCGCAGCCAGAGAACCAAGGAGCTAGACGACCTCCTAGGCGACCTGCACTGTGACATTCGAGGTCTTTTACCTTCTTACTAGCAGAAAATGTTTACCTGATAGCTGTGTATCTGATGTTTTTAGAAATGACCACAACTTCTGATAGCTCTCCTGATGGTATACTTCCTGTTTCTCAGACATGGAGATGGCGGTAATGGCACAGTTGCAGAACACAGTCCTCGAGAGGAGTGCCTCCCTCTACAAGGTTGGTATGCATCCCTGTACACTTCCAGGTCCCAGTGTTTAAACATGACTCCCACACTGATAAAATGATTGTTGGCATGAAAATAACTCTGTTAATGTGTGTAGGAGGTGTTTGTTGTGATTAGCTTTCAGTGTTTCTTTGGGTTATGTTGTACATTTTGATTATGAAACAGGTCCTGATGGTCCTGAAGTTCATTTCAAGAGCTGTGATATTTGTCCCACGACAGATAGGTCTGCAATTTCCTGCTGTAATTGCAGGTTTTATTGTTACTTTTCAGGACAGAATTATCATTCAGGTTAGATAATGAATTATTGCGTTTACAATACCGTAGCTGTCGTTAAGATGTACTTGCTTTTAGGCAGATTGCAACTTGGCAATTAAATCAATGTAAAATAAACAATGAACTTTATTAAAAATGGACTAAAAAATATTAAGCTTTATTAAAGTGAAGTCACTTTAACACTTATCTACTCTTACTGCAGTATCAAAACATCCAAAGAAAATTCTCAAATTGCTCCTGCAACATAATCCACTTCTTTGTTTTCCATCTGTATCGTCAGTTTGGTCCAAATTCTCATATTCTGCACCTCAGTTTCAGGTCTCAGTTCACATTCACAACCCCGTTGAGCTACAATAAACACTAGAGCTCTGGCTTTGCTGCTCTTTCATTGGTCAAAACTACTCTGTTCAGGACAGTCATTGTGTTTAATGTGTGTGTTGTGTAGATTCTGGATCTCACTGCTGAGCTGGACTGTCTGATGGCTTTGAGCAGTGCCTCCCAAGAGTATGGCTACACCTCACCCAAACTAACCAACCACAGGAAGATAACAGTCATAGAGGGCAGGTAGGAACTCATACACGAGATGGAAACAATTATATTGGTACTTCAGTTGTAATCTAAAACTTTGATTATGTAAGGTCATCATTCCACATAAGCTGATCCAACATTAATCTGATTACTAATTACATACACAGCACACACACATAAAGCACAAGTTGTATTTAATATAAAAATGCACTACAGGGTTGATAAATGTCTGTATTTTATGATTTTTTAGACATCCACTGTTAGAGTTGTGCTCTCCTGTGTTTGTGGCCAACTCCTTCCAGAGCTCAGAGTCGCAGGGTAGAGTTAAGATCATCACTGGCCCCAACTCATCTGGAAAGAGCATCTACCTCAAACAGGTGGGGCGGTCAGGAAAAAATATGTTCCTAACAATTACGCACAAGTTCAAAAGCCTTGATAACTTTAACAAGTTAGTGATGAACAAAGGAAGTAGAGCAGTATATATGCAGAGTAGCTGATGATAGAATCAGTTGCAGGTGAGGAGTGGGCGGAGTAGGCCAGGTGAAGGGAATGCATGATGGCAGGGCAGATCGGAGTGGCAGGATCTGTAATGGAAAGAGAAAGTCTGGGGGCATCTGGTGGATAGGTAAAGAATAATGCTGAATGGTCCTGGGAAAGTAGAGCTGTGGCTAAAGAGAGGCACAGAGGTGGACGTGATAGCTTGTGGTCTTGACTAGCTTGATAATACTCAACCTATTTATGTAACAGTAACACAGTTTCTGTATGTGACCCAGCACGTACATGATTCAGTTTCCTGTTTACCTGAAATTTGATTGATATACGGTAGGTTTTGAGGCCAAAGATGCTTTTTTTCTTTTGCTGCATAGTGATAAGCTGTGATTAGGGAAACAGTTGCAGCAAAACTAATAGAAAGGTTTAATGAATAAAATAACAGTCAAGCTATACAAGTCTGCCTTCAACATCTGTTTATTCAGCACCAGTAGTTGCATTACAGATACAAGTAACCTCAGAATTCTGATTGATGATGACAGCTGCCATGATGTACAAGATTTACATTTTCCCTCTCCAAACTTTTTGACTTTATTGATTATTAGAATAAGTCTTGAAGCTGTGAATCACAACTTTATCATAAAACACAGAGGACTGTAATTAGGGGTGACAATAAAGTTTGTCAAATAGAATATGTTCATTTTACACTTTGTTCAGGGGAGTTTTTACCTCCAGGTTGCTCTTGAGGATCACTGATGGGACTCAGGACAGCACTTGTCATCCAACCTTGACTTGTGACTTAACCTGCTTTCTGATTTGACTTGGCAGGTGGGTCTGATTGTGTTTATGGCTCTGATTGGCTCAGATGTGCCTGCAAAAGAGGCAGAGATCGGTCTGGTGGATGGGATCTTTACCCGCATGCAGAGCAGAGAGTCTGTGTCTGTGGGCCTCAGCACCTTCATGATAGACCTTAACCAGGTACCTAACACACTCACGCACACACACTTTTACACACACAAGCTGTGTGTGGGTGTGGAAATAAAAGATATGAACTTCCAACACTACTGTCCTCCAGCTCCACTCCCACTCTCCACCTGTTAAGACATTTTTATAAAACAACTACTGCCCACAGCCATAACACACACACACACACAGACAATAAAACAGCAAAGTGGTGTAACATTTTGTGTCTCTGTTCTCCAGATGGCCCAGGCTCTCAACAGCAGTACTGGCAACTCATTAGTTCTCATCGATGAATTTGGAAAGGGAACTAACACAGTAAGAAGAACTTGTTCCAGTGCTTTGTGAATTAAATACATATGTATACGCATAACAAGTACACACAGTGTCACCGATGTGAAGCGCCTGAAACCAATCCCAGCCAATATTATACAATTTAGAGCTGCAGCACGAACAGACCTTCAGTTCAGCCCAACATGTGTCACCTATCAGCAACAAAATAGCAGCAGCTGTTCGAAGCTGTAGATATAGAGGTGTTGATGTGCTCCATCTATAGGTAAGGGAAGTAATAATGCAACTTGCGGCAAAGGCTGTTATACCTGCTGTTTTTCAATAGCTGTTTGTGTGTGTTTTTACATTTATATTTTAGTTTTGGTAGCTGTAGGATATTTCCAGCTGGATACTGAGAAATGTGCACAGTTCACAGTGCTCTGAGTATCATTATCTTCTCTGTCCTCCATCACTGTCTGCCAGGTTACTCTGGAGAGGGACGTAGAGGGTCCAGACCAATTTTATTTGTCTAAAGGAAAAATAGAGGTGTGAGAAGAAGGTTCTAGAAACATTAAGAGAAAATTACCAAAGTAGGTTGAATAAGTCCTATCTCAGCCCAGGTCATAGATTAAATTAGCTTTTATCAATATTTTTATTATAATAATATGACAATATGAAAACAATGTGACTCCCCTCGGCTTTACAGAACTTTATGGTGAGAACTTTCAGTCTTGTCAGCAGCAGCAGTGGTTTTTGGCTGAAAAACCCACTGTACACAATCTGCTTAACACAGAACGACAGATGGACACATTTAGCGACTAGCTGTTGAACATAATGGAGCGTTTAGAAGCTAAAGAGCAACATATTTCCCTCAGGAGTTGGCAGAGACCAGAAACAGGGCTAGACGTGAGTGAATATTGACTGGATGGCCAAAAACACGACTCCAACTGAATGTTGTTGTTGTAATGTCGTCTGTACCTGCTTCAGGTGAAAAACTGTTTGCCAAGAAGTTCGTCAAATCAACTTGACAGGAATATGTATATAACATAATACAACAAACAGGGTGAACTGTGTTTCTATTATATCTGAGTTTTTACAGTAATATCTGCTGGAGGTACGTTTGACACACTGTGAAATGTAAAACCTCACAAGTACATACACATAAAAACAGCTCTAACCCTCTTACCTGCAGGTGGTGCATGTTAAAATGTAAGCAGCTACTGCTTTCCTTGCCTGTAGGTGGCGACATGTACCCCATAACCACAAGGCCTAGTTCTTTGTTGCATGTCATACCCCCTCTGTCTTTGACCACATGTCTTGTCTGTCTTTTGTACACTATCAGAATTAAATACAAAATTCCCCACCAAATAGAGTTTATATCTGGATGTCTACACTGCTGCTGCTGTTGGTTTCCTTTCCTGTAAGTAATTCAGGTGGTTGGACAAAGATGGAAAACTGCAGAATGTTTGTACAACAAAAGTTTAATCATAAACACACAAACATTGATATATCCTAGGCTATGATTACTTAAAGTCTGTTCTTGTGTACAGGGGATACATGTATTCCTCCTAAATTGTACATTTACTCAAGATTCCTGGTTTACTTTAATATTAATTAGAATAAATAGCAATTCATTTGCAAATGTGAAACCTTACATACATTACCTAACATTTGTTAATTAAGTTAACATTTGTTTTTGTGATACTTCTGCTTGGCTGTTGTTCAAAAGAAAGCGAGGCATCTGATAGGTGGACCTCTTAATCCACAAACCAGTAGACAGGAATGTTAATTGGTTTATTCTGGCACCAACTCAATCTCGTGCTATCAGGGGTTTGTGTAAAGAGCTTAACCTGAATCGTGACTGAATTGTTTGGCCAATAGCTGCTTCATCACTGCACTGAAAACACATCCATGTAACGTTCCCCTTCAGGTGGATGGACTGTCCCTGCTGGCTGCATCAATCTCTCATTGGCTGAGAAAAGCTCCCATGGATGTACCTCATGTCCTGTTGGCTACTAACTTCCACAGTTTGCTGCAGCTGGGCCTGCTACCCTCCTCGGGCCTGCTGTCTCTTCTGGTAGTGAGAGATACTCAACTGAGCTTGCACAACGATAAAATGTTGCCTGAAGCATTTTGTGAAGGTTCACTGAGATTTCATGATGGTAAAATAATGTGCTGCAGAATATTGTTGACAGCAAAACATCCAAATGACCAAATGAGACTCCAATTGAGATTTGTTTTAGCTTGTTTAAGTTTATTTGCGTATGTGAGTTTTAGGTGGGTGTGTGTGTGTGTGTGTGTGTGTGTGTGTGTGTGTGTGTGTGTGTGTGTTAGACTCTAGAGACAGCAGTGGACGGGGATGAGTTGGTGTTTCTGTACCAACTCAAGGAAGGGATCTGTCAGTCCAGCTATGCTGCCAACATCGCTACATTGGCAGGCTTGCCAATCAGCCTTGTACAGAGAGGAGTTGAGGTAAACACATACACGGATACATACACACACACACACACACACACACACACACACACACACACACACAGAGATAAACAGTAGTATGCTGACATAGACTGACTGTTTGTGGCTGTGTGTGTTTACTCAGGTGTCTGAACTGTACCGGACAGGAAGGTCCATCAAACGTATTGACAAAGCATCATCGGATGAGCAGGCAAAGAGGTTTGTTAAACTCTAGTATCACAGAATGACAATGAAAACCAACACAGAGAGCAGTGTAAGTGAAGCAGAGTGTGACCGACAGGTGCAGGTCTGTGGTGGAGAAGTTCCTGAGCCTCGACCTGGAGGACAAAGATTTGGACCTTCAGCACTTCATGAAAGAGGAGTTCCTGCCCTCTGCTGGGGAGCTGCTGAACCACAGCTGAACGGCTCTGCTGCAGTTGCACACATTTCTACAGCTCTGTGGTCAGTTTGTTCATTCACTGTCTAATGTTTTCAGTTGGTCAGGCTTTTACTGATGTTCTACCTACAGACAGGATACATATATCTAAATACATGACAAGAAATATATTATACTATAATACGTATACAGTATGACTGAAATATGTGTCATACTGCATATGTTGTAGAGGTTTATGTTGTAGCAGCTTGATTTCTTCTTGTGTTTGGTTCAGTAGAAATACCATGTTGAATATGAGACACAACAGCTTGGTTGGATTAAAGTCTTTCTAAATTAATATGTTAATGCCAGAATTATCTAAATAGTGTTTTTCTAATTCAGTAGTCTATTGGATAGTACAAAAAGTCTGCAGAGCTGGTGATTTTTCTTCACCATATGGTTCAAGTCCTTTCAGCATCACTTCACACAGTCTTCTCCTCTTTGTTTTGACAACATAAATAAATGCAAGTTGTTTATTGTGATCCCGTTGAGGCTTCAGTGAGGTGCCAGGAAGTTAGGACGGCCATAATGAGATACAAAAGTGTGGTTATTGGAAGTTTGTGTGATGTGTTGCAGAAGGGCGTGTCGCAGCAGTGTTTGGTCATGACAAAGATTGTTTTGTTAGAGAAGAGCTCCACTGTGGTTTCCACGCTGCACTCTTCTGCCTTCACACAACCTAAAGTCTTAATGTCCAGAGTGTCAGCTGGGGAGACAAGACAACGGTATTCAGTATAACATCTCTATGTAAATTAGAGCAAAATACATTTTATAATTTTACCCTGATAACATTTACACCCTCTAACGCATATATATTTATTAATAAACATACACTGAAAAATACAGTCTTATCCAACACACCTGCCTTCCCTCTGCCCGTGTAGCAGAGCTCCCCGTGGCTGCAGTTGGTTTCGGTGGTGTAGCAGGCATCCCAGAAGCCCAGGTCACAACGGAAACACTCCAGAAACTCTTCCTCTTCCTCAAATTCCACTGACTCCATAAGCTGCTCTAGCTGCTCTTCATCCTCACCTGAGCCCAATGAACAAAAATAAGAAATGAGACACAGTAAAGAAATGAATTTTGACAGAACAAAGGAGACCGTATCTAACAGCAACAAAAGAAATGTTACTGAATTAATTATTGTTATTGAAAATTCAAATTGTATGTCCAATATATTGAGTAAAAAGGACAAAAAGGTTTTAATTTTACTTAACCTCTATTTAACCAGATCTCCCATTGAGATTGTAAAGTTATTTTACAAGAAAGACCTGACCAATACAGCAAGTTAAAAGGTTGCAGGCAAAATCAGCTGATCAATAAAACAATACTAAAAAACAGATAACTGTACAATAAGGTAAGAACAGAGAATATGAACTACTAGCAATATAGATGTCAGGTTAATGGATGAATGGCTTTGGATTATTCAGATTTTGAGGCATTTATGTAATAGCTAGTTGGACACATTTATTATTCTGAGGGTGCTGAATGTGTGAAGTGTTGGAGCGCTGTCGAAGACATCAAGCCAAAGTGATGAGCCAGATTCTGCCGAAACCTTTGAGTATCTCAGAAATATTTCGTTTATTCAGCAGCACTCTGGAGTTTGTTTCTTTGAGTGGATGACTTGTGTTATTCAGGGAGTGCTCCAAGTCTTCAGGCTGCATCATGTTTTTATTAACCAGACAGATACTGGAATTAATATAAAGAATTGGCAGCAGAACGTAGTGCAGGAGCGGGACATACCCTTCTTACCACACTGTACTGCACAATCCTTTAAAATAATGCCACTAAAGCCACACATTAGCTCTTGAAATGCACAGAGGCTTCTTCCTAAAATTAGTGATTTATTGGCAGTGAGAAATAGGTGACAGAACAAAAAAACTGTCAAATATGGCTGAAAATTTTCATTTTAATCTCATAATAAATTTGTCATTTCTTATTCAAATAATTGTAAAGACAGCATATTTGCATACAATTACTTTGCATGGTAGTCTTGAATGTCTGAGATTTACGTTTGAAGTTCATTGTCAGAGCACACGCAGCTGCCAAATGGCCAGCCTAAGTAATGTTACAAGGATAAGGGAGACTCACAATCCTTATCCCTTCCTCATCTTGTTAGCTAAATCTAGCTCAGGTGAACAAACACACAAGAGTAGTGAGGTGAAGTTTAGTGTGAGAAGAGTACAGACTTAATAAATGTATACTTAATTGCCTGTTCATTAGGTGCCTAGTCAGTGCGGTCTAATACAATCAACAAAAAACTTAAAGCTGTACCGTTCATGAAGTTTGGATTAATTGCAGAGCTGCGATGCTTAATCGATTCATGGATTTACACAAAATGTGATTCTGATAATCAATCAATTTTGATGGTTGGATTTTCTGCTATTTATTGTTTTACATTATAGTAAATTGAATATTTTGGGGTTGTAGACAAAACTGGACATTAGAGGATTTCACCTGTAGGGCAGTTGTATTAGACCATATGGACAGAAAGAATAAGCCCTGTTAGTATTTCACATATTAAGGCTATTAACTTTCTCGTAGTTCTTGTAGCAGCAACATTTTAGAACAGAGGAAATAGTTTGATCATCACCAACTATTTATCTACATCATCTTACCTTGAACAGGTGTGAGCATCATGATGGCAAAAATACAGAATAGTAGTCCTTTCATTTTGAGTGGAATACTTATTCCATTGACTGCATCATGCGGACTGCTTAGGGGTCCGGAAGCAGGGCTAAAATTGGATTAGTCAGGAATACACCTGCTTATTGTCCAGCACCAATCACAGCTGCCGGACGGCTGCAGATGATCAAACAAGGGGAGTTTCGGGGGGGGTCTGTGAGAGACGAGGGGTGAGATGTGGAGTTTGGCAACCAGAAGGATTTAGTGTCTCCTTAAATGTCAGAAAATGTAATTTGGTTTATTAGCTGCTTTAACAGAAGATACAGCGTGAATGTTACATATAAAATCAAGCCGGTAACTCATCCCTCTGCTTAGATGAAATAACGAATGCCAGATGTAGACAAAAGGTGGTGGAAAACATTTCTCCATCCAGCTGATGCTTCTCACTTCTTTTTACAGAGACATCTTTACTGAATCCTTTTTCCTGCTGTAACAGGTGAAGTCTTTGAGCAGAAAAAGACAGTTTCTTCAGGCTGGTTGATCCTCAGCTACTCACATCTTTTTTAAAATGTTTATCATAGCTCCTCTCTCTCTTAAGGAACAGCGAAATTGCATGTGTCCTGAGTCAGCGCAGGGTTAAGCAGCTTACAGCCTCTGGTACGTCTGCTCAGATATGTATCAACACACACACACACACACACACACACTAATCTCTCAGAGGAGGGAATTCGATTCAGTTGTACTCTCAATGCAGCAAAAAATGTGTGTTGCTGAATTATGTAACAACACTGTCGTACACACACATACACACACACACTGATGTACACATGAGAAACCTCAAAGATGGCTTGTATTCTCCGTTGCTGCAGTGCTGTTGTTGCATGTGCGTAAATGATATTGAGATTTCTTGTAAATCAATATACAACATGTGTATGAAGAAACAAGAGTATAATTAACAGAGCTGAAATGGTTGCTGGATTAATCATTTGGGTCATTTCTTAAGAAACAATGTCAAACATTTGCTGGTTTCAGCTTCTTAAATGTGAAGATTTATTGCTTTTACTTGTCTTATATGATAGTAAACTCAGCATCTCTGAATTGTAGGCAGTTGTTTGGACAAAGCATGCAATTTTATGCAATTTAAAGACATTTTTCACTATTTTCTGACAACTTTGTGATCATTTTAGAAGATGTGGTTTGTGGCTGTGGAACTGTATTGTATAATACAGAGAGGTTATTTAGCCTATCCTCATTGATATAAATGGGGTGGACGCAAGAGAATCAAACAGCACGACAAACTGCAGCCTCCAAGATGATGTTGAATGATGTTGAACAACCCCTCTAAAACATTATATAACCTTCATTATTATTGCAGGTCTGTTGTAGTAGACTGCACTAGTTTCAGCTAGGTGTACCTAATAAACTGGGATTTGATTATAGAATAAAAAATCAAGAGAATATCCAGATTACTGAAAATAATCTTTGGTGGCAGCTCTACCATGCAGCACATTTCCTTCTAAATGTAAAGACATCAGAGCAGCTCACACTGAGAAGGAATGGTGTATGTGTGAGAGTGCAGAGAGAGCTGCTTTTTCTGAGCGATAAGTGCGAAGGAGGCTGCTTGCAGCTTGTTGCAAGATTCCGACACATCTCCCCAACTCATCCCTGCTACTGAGAGATACATGCAGCACCTCAAAAACGGCACACTGTGCCGACACAATACCCTCTTACTGAGCCTTTGTGTATGTGAATTTATGTGTGTGAGAGAGAGAGGGAGAGAGAGGGAGATGGGTGCTGTTTTTAGTGAGTGAAATGTGTGGCTGCAAATTACTGTACACTTCAGTCTCAGTCGTCATCTGGATGGCAGGATCCCAGCATGGGCCCGAACAACAAGGAAATACTCTGCAGTCCTAAAGCACCTATAAAAACCTTCAGACTGATCCCCTGTGTAATTAGAGGCTGGAGGAGAAAATGCTGGCGATAATTAAAATCCTACCTCCTTACCTCTCCGCCTGCTCAAACATGCTCACTTTTCCTTAATTGGACCCGATAACTTTTTCTTTTTTTTTTTACTCTGCATTGTTTTGCTCTACTTTCTGTATTTTGGCTGTTTTGCACAAGCCAAGGACCGAGACGGAGGACGGAGTATTTGAATAAAGCGTAGGAATCAGAAGAAGAGAGAGAGAGAAAAGATGAAAGGTCGGGATGGTGGGAGAGTGAGGCTCAGTTACACGACTCACAGGACCGCTTTTCTCAGTTACGCTGCGTCAGGAATAACTCATAACAGCCTCACCAGATTTCGCTTTTTTTTAATAAGTCCTTGCTCTTTTCTTTTGTATCCGCCATCTGATTGAAATTCTTTAAGATCTCACCTCACCACACTCGAGAAAAAGGAAGAAAACTGAGCAGCTGACACTGTGAATAAAAAAAAAAAAATTTTGAATTACAGTAAAAAAAAAAACTATAACTCGAGTCCACACTTACATGTGTACGGAGAACCAGCTGGTATTTATAGTGTGGCTGTAGGTGTCGAGTGAGTGGAGTGTGGCCTTAGGTGCTTCTCTTGTTTATACCGAGACACAATTTCCCTCAGATAAAGAGTAGACTACAGTATGTGTGAGATTAGATAAAGACTTATTTGAGACCTAATCTGGCTCATCCTCTTAACCAAACCTCTCCAGCAAAGAAATGTAGACGCTGTATCTCTGTAAAGAGGTTGTGTGTGTGTTTGTCAGAGAGAGAGAGAGAGAGAGAGAGAGTGAGTGTGTCCATCTCCCTGTATGGCCCCCAAATAAGTTTTCAGCAATCCTCCTCACGTCCAAATATGGTCAAACAAGCAGTGGCTTTTGGGATTTTGGGCATGGGTAAGTTCAAAAACAACAAGATGGCGAGTTGACATCAAACAGCATAGCTCCAATCTTTCAAATGTGGGTGAGTCAGAGAACGATGTAGGACAAAAACACCCTTCACAGACAGTGAGTCAGAGCCACTGCGCCACTCGGAGGCACTAAAACATACCAACAAACATTTCATCTGTTTATTGAGGAATGCATAGTCTTGTCTTTAGAGTGTGTCTGCACGTGAAATGTTCAAATGTATCTCAACATGCATATTTTATGAGACAGTAGAAGTTGAACCCGGCAGGGGGTTCAGTGTTGAGGCGGCAGAGGAGAGCCTGTCCGTATGTTGAAGTTGATTTCACTGGAGTTGCAAGAGTCTGAGTAGACGGAGCAGTGAGAGATGGACGGGCAGGGGGAGGGAGGGTGAGGAGTTGGCTCCTGGTGGTGCAGAACTTGGGCCAGCAGGGTTGACCTTCCCTCCTTCTCCTCCTTCTCTCTGTCTTTGTCATCTCTACCTCCAGCATCTGAAGGCGGCGGCGGCGGCGGTGATGGTCCGCTGTCAATGTTGTCTCTGCTCCTGCGAGGAGGAGGACCACAGTTCTGGTTCGAGAGGGGCAGTGTGTGGGCCGGAGTGGCCCAGCATCCCTGCTCTTCATCTTTACACTCCCACTGCTCCTGACAGCTAAAGCTGGGCTGCTCCTGCGAATCCTCCCAGCCACTTCCTCCCTTCAGATCCTCAAGGTCGTCAGGTGTCCCTCGTCCCTGTCCCCGAATTTCAAGGTCCCGGTTCTCGTACAGCAGCGTGGCGGCGCAGATGAAGATGAACAAACCCACTCCCATGACCGCGGGCCCGGCCAGTTTCATCCTGTCAACGTGGGTGGTCCCTCTACCAGCCACAGGCTTTGGTGCTGCGGATATGTAGCCCGCCACCGCAACGCCCATCCCCACCAGCACCACCGCTACACCCAGCATTAGCCACACACCTGGGGCAGAGCGCAGGTGCAGTTTGGTTTGGAGGACTGTGCCTTTCCTCAGGTGTCTCTGGCATGCTGGGAGGCAAACGGGTGATGACTGGGTGGAGCGGGAGGAGACGGGGCTGCAGACGGGACTGGTTGCTGTCATCCTCTGGCTTCAGACTGAACAGGGGAGAAGACGACACGGAAAAAAGAGGACAAAGAGCAGAAACATAAGAATTAAGCAGGAAAGTGTTGCATGCAGCATCAGAGGGTGAGCTCTGGGGTGTTGGAGAGAAGATAGTTTACTCTGCATTGCACTCAACAGGAAATAGCTGCTTTAATAAGACATGTGGCCGAGTTAATGAGATGCCAACCCTTCTGCAGCTCCTCCAGTGTCTCTGTGGAGCCACACAGAGACTCTCCACTCTCTCCTCGACCCTGCAGCAGGCAGCCCCTCTGAACCCGCTCTGAACTGTTATTCAAACACTCTTTCATTATAATGGGAATAAAAACGACTGACCCCTTTCAGGACCATGGGACTTTCACTTCACAATCACACTGCAGTCATGGAAATTGAGTCACATTACCGCGTTACTTGCTCCAACTGAACTCATGATATAATTCCCCCCCGGGGCAAGTGAACGGGTGACTCAACAGGACGCAAACGAGGATGATAAATTGCCTATCAAGTCCTGTTTCATAAGTGCTCTTACGCATGCATTTTTAATGTTGTATTTTAATTCGTGGTGCTCGACAGCACTGTTGCTGACTACAGTTATTCACTGCAGTCAACTGTTCGGTTACTTTAACGCAGTTGATATAAAATCACATTGAGTACTTGCCTTGTTCTGAACGTCAATCCGAAGCATAAACTGGGTCCTCGGCATTATCAAAATAAATAACCCCGAGTTGCGTTATTCCCCCACTCCTCCGCGAGTGTTTGATTCGCGGTTAAATCCCGACTTTCACCCAGTTCCTCCTCAGATTTAGACGTTTTTCATCCTTGACTTCACTGTGTGAGCCAGCGGCTGCTGCGGAGCCTGAAATGTGGCTTTTATATTAAGTCTCACTAAAAGTGGTGCAAAGCTGCTCTGCCTCTCTGTCTCCTCGCTGCTTGTGCGCCTATGCAGCCTGTGTTTTGATTTGTCTGTGTGTGTGTGTGTGTTGTGTGTGTGTGTGTGTGTGTGTGTGTGTGTGTATAGAGGAGGGGTCGTGGGAATCTGTGGCTGGTCCAGGCCAGTCCCACGGTGAGCCCAGTTATTCTTAGTGATCACCGGCCATCAAGTGTTAAAGTACCAAAAGAGAGACATTACTAAACTCCACCAGAAACATGAAAAATGTAAATACATAAAAAACAAAACAATAAAACACCCCTTACTGAAAGACACATTTATCTCCTTTTAATACAAATACTGCATACAACCATGTACACTTTACATTTCTTAAACACATAATTTGCAGTATGGTTTCCAATCAGTTACAGCATGAAAATCAATTAGCAGATGCTTGTATTTTGCTTAAAGGGGAACTCCATCAATTTTGCACATCAAAGTCTGTTCACAGGTTTTGGGGAGGACTTCTGCATATGTAACTAAAAGTTGCTTCAAGCCTTTAGTGGCTCCAGAGGGAGCTGTGTGAAGTCTGATTTTAAAAAAAAGTGTTGTCACTTGAGGCGACACCGGTAGTGTTTTGTTGGTTTGTCACCTCTAGCAGTGAAGTTGCAGATATATTTGAATACAGCTCAGACTCCCAAAGTGTGCAGGAGAAACTACAGTGGGCACAACAACTGAGAAAGGCCCTCTCTAGAGCCAGTTTGGTTTGTCCATTCTGGGCTACTGTTGAAACATGGCGGTTCAACATGACAGACTTTTTTCTTTTACCAAACTTCCCCTAATTAGGCGAACCAAAGTCTTGGTTGCACACTAATGAAAACATACCTCTAAATATTATATTCCATTTCTGCCAATAGACCTTCCTTAACTGCAGCGCTCATTACATACGTGTTAATTACTTTCACATTGCGTTCACACGTGGGCCAGATCTGGGCCACTTATCGCAGTCACAGCTCAGTTTCCATCAACAGGTGTCATAAAGCCCAGTAGATTTGGGTGAGTTTCCGCTTGTTGCCTAGAGGGCAGGTGTAAATACACAGTGTGGTGGTTTTAGGTTGACCTGCGATGTGTTTAATATGGATTTTGCCCACATAGCAGACTAGTTTGTGGGTGAGATTTGCCTATTTGTATGTAGGTCAGGTATTTTGAAGGATGTGACTACATCGCAACATGCTGTCTCAAAAGTTTGTTTGCAGAAAATGTGAGCCACAACACTCTACAGAGCATCATTTTAAGGTTTAGAGCTGTTTATTTTAATAGAAATACAACTACATAAATAAACTATATACATATTATATGACGCGGGTGAACTGATATATCTGATATAGCTATTATTACATAGTGATCCAATGATAACTTTCCCCCTTAATATTTGTAAGGTGAAATATTTAAGATTTATTGTTTCAAAGGTTAAAGATATTAAATGAATGAAAGTAAACATACATTATTTGTTTGCTGAATCATTGTTAAATCGTTGCAGTGAACAGTTGAACACTTCTACACTCTGACAGTAATGTTAAAATGAATGACTAAGAACAGGCACTCAAGGAAGTTCATTCTACGTTGCCCGTTGAGGATTTTGTTCTGTAAGTTTTAGCCTGGGCAGTTTAAAGGCAGATTGATCTAAAAAGCCAGTGGTGGAAAGCCCGGATAGCTCATCTGGTAGACCTGGCACCCCATGTACTGAGGCTGAGCCTTTGCTGCAGCGGCCTAGGGTTTGAATATGATCTGTGGTCATTTGCTGCGTGTCATCCCCTCCCTCTTTCCCTCCTTCCTGTCTATCTTCAGCAGTCTTAGCCAAACAAAGGGAAAAGCCCCAATAATGGATTACATCATTATAAAAACTCTAAATTTCTAAAACACATGAAGTATGGTTTGCATAATGGATCATAAATTATAAGTCACAATATCAGTGTAGAAAATACTTCATCACAAGTAAAAAAAAAAAAAAATGGAACTCTTTGGAAAAAGCTAGTAAGTTGACCTTGAGTTGGGATTGTTTTTTCAAACTACCAGTGGTGGCAGAAGTATATAAGTATACTTATAGTACCAAAATAACAATCACTTACTTTAAAAGTACAGATTTATCAGCAAAGTGAAAGTACTTCAGATCATCAGATCAATCTTTAACAAAACTGAGGAAACTCCACGTTGAAGTCCATGATAGGGCTAAAACCTCCCAGTTGTGAAAGTACTGTACCTCAAAAATGTATTTCAGTAAATGTGTTTTCCACCACTAAACAAGTAAATACAAAAATGTACAGATAAAGACCACAGTTTTAGTGTATCTGTGTGTGTGTGTGTGTGTGTGTGTGTGGTAAATGACTGAGGTCAAATGAGGACAGCAGGCAGTGTGCATCTCATTTATTTTCACCCATTCCATCAAACAGCCACAGTTACCTCAGAGCCAAAACAGCGTACCATTACCCCTTAAATTAGAATACATAAATAAAAGCTGTTTGCATATTAACAGTTGCTGATGTACACATTCCAACTTGCTGAAGTACACGCTGATTTACAAAGACACTGACGATGTTTTTTTGTTTTTTTTCTCAAAATCTATGTATGAATTGAGGCTCGTATTTTTCAGTCCACTGTCACAATGTCCTTCCCTGTAGACAGATGTCAAGCCTTTGCATAACCAAGCTGGAGTTAACTCTGGTAGGGAGCGAGGACAGTCCTTTTGTAGCTGTATATTATTTACAAAGTGAATGATGGAGGTTTATTTGAACCAAACAACATAACCAATATTAACAAAACAACTAAAAGCTGTTTTTTTTGTGTTTTTTTTCTCTTAAACATTCATATTCATGAGCCGTTTCCCCAAAAGAAAGCAGATAGAGAAGAACAGAGCTGGTTCATTGTCTCATTCCACCTTAAAAGACTGCGAGTTTCCTTGATTTAAACATTTAGCCCTTAGCCTTGCTTGTCACAAAACAATCCTCTGACCAGAAAAGAAACATACACGGGCTGGTGGGAAATTACATCCTCATTTCTCAAACACACTTAGTCACATTTGCACACACACACACAAACTTTTAACCATCCCCCATTCAATCTAAGCTTCAGCCAACTCCAATTTAAACAAACTCTCTCTGCCTTTGGGCCTGTGGAGTGGCCCACTTTCTCCATCTAGAGGAGAAAGGCTGAACTACATAGTGCTTCTGTTCCACTGGGTTTCACATTTAAAAACCTCGCCACCTCACGATTGTATTTTGCAGCTAAAAATGCAGCTTTTTTTTTTGTTGCCAAGTGAAAGCAACAAATCACAAACAGGCTCGTTCCATCTGTTCTGAGCTCAAGCACCATTACAGTTCAAATAAAACAGGAAATGTAACAGAATCAAGACACTAAATCCAATTCATAAACTGTACAATGTTAAGAAGCATTGAAGGTGCCTGCAGTTCCTTTTTTTATGATTCAGTAAACAAACACGATATAAGTTGAGGAATCCTCATGGTATCATGTAAAACTCTCCCTCAGGGGTGATCAGTACGGTCCATCATGGAGAGAGGTTGGAGAAAAGGAGGAGGGGGGGGTGGACGTTTTTTTTTTTTTTTTTTAGATGACGGCTTCTGCTCTTTTTCTCTCGTGTAGCTGCACTGTCGCAGAGCTCGACAGATGAAACCGGTTCTGGTTGATTTGATCAAGTGTCTTTAGCTGAATGTTGATGAAAGCGGAGCAAAGGGAAACCGGTAAGGAGCGAGTAATTCCTTGCAGGTTCTGGTTTCACTCTTCGTCCGCGTTCTTCAACATGAGGATGGAGTTGTAGATCTTTAGGGCAGGTCCTAACTTGATTGACAGGATCTTGACAATGTCCGCTTGGGTGAGCAGCAGGAAGGCCTCGCCATCTATTTGCTAAAAACAAGAAGAGGTTTTGCTTATCACATTTTTGTTTTACAGACTAATAGAGATTCTGATCCATATTTAGTATATAAATATATGATAGCATTAATTTGAATTAAAATGGAAATCTAATATTCACTCTTAATTCTGTTTTTGTTCTCTATCAGCTCCTGAAGGAAATATCTGGCTCTTTAGCTGCTAAATGCTCCACTATATTCACCAGCTAGTCGCCAACAGACTGTCTGTCCAATTTTAATAAAACATTGTTTAATTAAATCCTGAGCACAAAATACTGAAAAACTTGATGAGCATTTCCTGAACATGTGTGTGATTGCAGTGTGCACTGATTGACAAGATTGTTACAGAGTGTCCACAAGGACAGTGGCATTAATGAAAGCATGCAATTTGAAGAGTTTGTACTGTACAACTACAACAAATTACAAACATTCAGACATATGAATTGTTAGGTAGCATTAACTGTAGGGGTCGGGGTGGGAATCAAGTGCCTTTAAAAAGAAATCACATTTTTTAGGGTTGTCTTATTGAAAATGTATGCAAATTCTATGAAAATTATAAACTGCATAAAATTGCATAAAGCTGCACATCAAATACACTAATAAGGCAACGAAAAAGTATGTACTAAAAATATGATTTAATATGTGCTTAATGTCAGACACCAGACTACACAAAGGTGGCAGCAATACATTAACATTGAGATGATTGAGTCAGTGCTTATGTAATCTGCCACCTGTGTGTGTATGCATTATGTATCGGTTCTGAAGTTCTGCTATAAAAAAAAAAAGAAGAGTCAAGTGTGTTCCTTGTGTAAAACTTGCATTGCACTGTATAAAATATAAATACCCTGCTCACACCTACAAAAGAAGCAATATGAAGACATCTTCCTGGGCTCTTTTTAATGACAGTCGTTAGACTAAAACAATTAAAATATTTTTAAAAATTATCTTTATTAATATTAATCATTAGTTTACTCTTTCGACTTGGTGAGATTATGAGTAAGTTGAAGTCATGGTTAGCAAAGAAGTGCATACCTCGGTTTTAAATGTAGCAGCATGTTCTTTACATCCTGGGAGTCCTTTGACAAAACTGGCCACCTGGTGAACAAAGAGAAACAGCTTAACTACAAAAAAGCTCCACACAGGATGTTTCCATCAACAATTGTTTATGTACAAATCAAAGTCCCTCGCATGCCTTTGTTGCACTGACGTGCAGAAAGAGAAAACCATTTCATCACAACAACCAGAAAACCTGTCCTTAAATATTCATTAACAGTCGCAGTTTCCCTGAACAACAACATGCCTTCATGTCGGATGAGTGAATGCGGAGTAGGTCTGCTTTTCATGTGTTGGCACAGTGTGAGCGTGTAAGCATGTCTGACCTCCTCAGCGCTCCAAGTGGCCACTCTCTTGGCAGTCAGCCCCAGGACCTCAGGCAGCAGCTGGCAGTGTTTGTCCCAGCAGAGAGCCACCCGGTGGGGGGGGGAGGCAGAGATGCCGGGGGAGAACACAGACTCGTGGAGGGCCTGCTGGAGAGAGATGGCATCTGGAGAGGCTGAGGAGAGGAAAGAGTAGGGGGAGTCAGCAGTCCATGGGATTGAGGTGGTGATTTATAGGTTTTATTTTGTCTCATTTTATATTCTAACGCACCTTTACTATCGCCAATCTCCTCTTTAACGTAGTGCATTTTCAGATATTTGGGAACTGGAGCAGTCCTGAAGGAAACAAACAAACTGGAGGTTACGCTCTAATACAGGACCTTCTGCAGTGAACTTCAGCAGCACAGCCAGACGAAGCGGTTTCATGACTGTACCGTTTAGGCCTTGTTCCATTGTGGCTCTGCTCGCTGGCTCCACCTGGTGGTTCCGGCTGGCTGTTGCGTCCTGCACGCTCTGCCTCCACTGTCACAGGTTTCCTAGCAACACAGATAACCCGCTCTTAAGGTACAGACCACTGGATAGAGTTGCGTGCTATTAAAACACTGAGTTCTCTTGGGAGTGTTTGTGGCTTTCAGAGTGTGTTTATGCTGTTTTTGTAGACTGACAGCGTCGTACGTGTTGAGCGGCAAACCTGTTCTGGGAGTCCTCAGCTCCTTCCAGTTGGACTGGTGTTGAGGAGGTCTGTGTCGTAGTGTTTGTGTGAGAATCAGGGCGTCGCCCGCGAGGATGGGGTCCACTGATGGCAAGGGGCCGTTCTCCGCTGAGGCGATCTGGCAGCAAGCCCTCTTTGTTCAGATTCATCTCTGAGTAGGGACAGCTCACCTGACTGCACACACAAAGACACACAAACTTTAGAAATTCACTTTTTACTTTTGATGCTCTGCAGTTTAACAGGTTACACCAAAAAGGAAGGAGAAGCAGCTAAAAACCTTAAAGACTCAAAACTCCCACACACACACACACACACACACACACACACACACACACACACACACACACACACACACACACAAACAACACATTTACAGTGTCAGCAGCCCACACAAGTATAAATGACATTTAAGAACACCGAGACACGTTCTTCTCCCTCTGTACTTACATACAAAGTCCCCAAACACTAATAAAATAAGATAAGATTAAACTATTAATGTGAGGATTGAGCAACAGTGACAGGGTGCGGCAAAGAGAGAAGAAATTAGAAGTGAGGTTTTAATAAATAACTTATTGAATAGAATTTAATTTAGGTATATACCACTAAAAAGTGTATTAAAAAGTATTACACCAAAGGATCAAAGCAATGTAAGAAGCTTAGATAAAAAAGGAATTCAGAATACATAGGATATGAAAAAAAATATATATAACATGAAACAGAAAGTACGACAAAATAAATAACATAAAATACAGAAACTGAGTTTGTGTTACTAACGTGTAGTGGGTCCCATAGCGAGGTCCTCTGATGTGGCCAACCCCGTTGCATCCTGGGGTAGGACATCCTTGTCCTGGGGCAGTCAATAAATCACTGGAGCCTGAAGTATACACACACACACACACACACACACACACACACACACACACACACACACACACACACAAAGGAGTGTTAAAACAATGCAGACAACTGCACTTTGAATTCATTACAGATTCCTCCCACCACCATATCCAGGAGTTAAACGAAGGCAGAGACAAACTGTGCTGACTCATCTGTTGAAATTACAATTTGGATCCTTCTTCTGAGAAACCTTGACTGACCTCACTGAATATCAGGACTGGATGGCCAGGAAGAGTGTGTCTCACTGTCAGGGTCCGAAATTAACACCCACCAGGTGCCAAATGTGGGTAGATTTTCAGTTTGGCGAGTAAATCTTGGAAGGCTATCCAACTAAGTGGGGGTAAATCTTTGCACCAAAATAGTAATGTAATAAAAGACTATGCTGAGAGTACATCGTTTTGGTGTAATTTACTGGCGTGCTGCTTCTGTCCTCTGCTGCGTCAGACTTTACCAATCAGCCAGATGTGCTTTTACGCTTTGTCTGCAGTAGCAAAACTGCCCATCTTGAGCGTTCAACAACTCCACTAAGCTACTCGCTAACTAAATAACCTTATGTTTGTATGTAAATACCCACAAAAGCTTTGATGCTGTGGCACCAGGACTCTGTCAGGAGCAAGAGGCCAGACTTAGTAGAGAATGAGGAGTCTGATTAGTAGGTTTAAGTTGGTTAAGTAAAATTTTAAGAATGTATTTAGTTGTTGATCAATATATTAAAATAAATGTGCTTAAGATTTCGTTCTGGCCTCTTCTTTAAGTTTGCATTCGACATAATACCTTATCATCTCAATAAACTGTACTGAAACAAATATATATGTGAGAAAAAAAAGCAAGTAATTATTTTGGGATGGTAAAAAATATGCTTGGCAGGGGGATTGTTTCCATCACTTTGGCCGATGAATCAAAAAGTTTAGTTAATTTCAGACAGTGCTCACCGTTAGGGTATTGTAGTGGGTGTCCAGTTTTCTGACACCACCCTACAGGGTGTAGATCAGGGCAGTCTGTCTCCACCCAATAGTCGTACTCTGAATTCCAGCCATCAAAATGAATCTAGAGGAGAAGAGGAGGAAAGCTCATTAGACTGAGGCGGAGCACAGAGCAAAATACACCTTGAAGAGGAGACATCTTGTACCTTTAGTCTGTGGTCCTCTGTGTCCGCTATAGTTGCAACACGGATGAGCATGGGATTCCTCTTATCGACAGCTTCCACTTTCATCCCAATCTGGAAGCCATGAGGAGGTCGCTGCAAACACATTTTAGAAATCTTTATGTACTATATACACTATACTATGTATATTTGTGTTTGTGTGTGTGTGTGTGTGTGTGTGTGTGTGTGTGAGAGAGAGAATCGCACCGGTTTGAAAGCCCGAGCAGGAGCAGCCTGTGTGCCCGTCTCTTCCAGGTATTTCTCCCATGAAAAGCTCTTGGGTTGCTTATATTCTGGAGAGAGGGAATAAATATTTATTACATCAGTCACTGCATACAGTCCACACATTAACACAGCCTGCTGACATATGTCCTTGTGGATCAGAAACTAGTGATAATCTGGATATCCACGGGAACTGACAGTGGCATGCATTTAACAAATAATGTACCATACAATTAGTTTAAATATATTAACTTAAAAATAAGTTTGGGTCATCCTTTCTAACAGCAGGAGCAGTATTTGAGAAACAGCACAAATGTGTACAATACATTCCATAGAAAAAAGCATTGACAGCACAGGTAAATAACAATTTTGTCAGCTTAATCATCAGAATCTACATTTTTTATTAGCATTTATTTCTGATAATGTTAGATTCTGCATTATTTAGACCCTAGAGTATATTAAAATAGTTTATACTGACCCACATGTGTCTTGGTCTGTGTCTTACCAGCTGGAGTGGTCAGAGTTAGCATAGCCTCTTCACAGAACCCCACAGGATGGATGTATGGACTGCTAGCGTCACACCTTCAAAAAAACAAATACTTGGTAAAAAAGACTCACAACAACCGGAACTTAAGTAAATATAAACTTCTTCCAAATGTGTTCACACTGCATAAACTCTCTATAGCTAAAGTACACAGGCACCTATTGTTTTAGTCCTAAACCAGGCTCTTACCAGTAATCATATGTGTCATCCCAGTTGTCAAAATGAATAAGCAGTCGGTTGTCAACAACAGCAGCAATGGTTGCTACACAGATCAACGACGGGTTCTTCCTGTCAACCGCCTCCAGCTTCATCCCTGCTCTAAATCCAGATGGAGTCACAGACTAAAATAAAAAAATAAATACAAATGCAAATTTAGCACATACACAGTCTGATTTAATAACAATCTGATGGCTTTAGAATCTACAGAGTGTGTGTGCTTCATACTCACTGTGTTGAGGCTCTTGAAAAGGTGTTTTGGGGCCAGCTGACCCCTGCAGTTCTTCACATACATGCTCCAATTAAACTCCCCATCCTTACAACCTACAAGACAAACTCACTCAGCAAGGTTGTTTGGAAAGATAATGGATAGATATGTCAGTCTGTGTGTGTGTGTGAGAGAGACTACCTTTAGGCAACAATAACTTATGTCCATTCTTCTCACACCAGCCAGCTGGTTTCATATCCCACGAGTCAGCATTGGCCCAGAAGTCATAGCATTCTGGGTAACCATCAAAGTGGAGCCGTACCCTATAACCTTGGATCTGAGAGAAAAAGGGATAGAAAACACGAGTGAAACTGTTCATTATAAACAAGAATAAAGAGATATACAGTTTGTTGAAGCAAAGCTACAAACAACTATTAGTACCTCTGCAGCAGTGAGTACACAGAACAGAGACGGGTGAGACGGGTCCAGCCCCTCCAGCTTCATTCCCACCTTAAAACTGTTCCTGCTTTGAGGAAACGACTGGTGCTGCAAGACAAATGTACATCATAGCAGTCACGAACTGGCTCATCTGAGACCAAATTAACAAAACCATCTGGTTTAATATATAAAATTGGCCAGTGTATATAGAGAAAAAATACCTCTTTGAATAGTTTAACAGGAGCAGCAATGGCTCTCTCCTCCTCCAAGTAAGCAGGCCAGCTCCACGCCCGTTTCTTATTGGCTGGGGCAGACACTGAGAAATATACTCATTTCGTATTATGTACTGTGACTGCTGCATGACAACCTCCAACACATGCCAATCATCAGAAACATACAGAAACACCTCTTCCCCAGGTTTGACTTTTATTTGATTCAGATCAACTCTTTCAATCAACAATGTACAAAGATATTTAGCAGTAACACATGTTTTAATCTACTAGTCTGTATGTCACAGATGTGAAAATATGCCAAAATATTGATAGAAAATACAGAATTAATAAAAACTCCCATTCATTCTTTAAATATGTGTATGCAATTAAACAATGTGAGACAGTAGCAACAGTCTCACATACCCAGTTTGGCAATTTTGGCACCTCTTCTGCCTTTGGTTGTCTTGGCCTTTTCCTACAAAAAGATTAAATGAAAGAACGTGTTAATATAAAGAACGACCAACTTCTTTTCTCACCCATCTTGTGTGTTTTCTCAACAAAAAAAAAAATTCTTGATTCTTCGTTGGAAAAACCTTATTATTATTATTGTTATTACAGCAAGACAGTACTGAACACTTGAGTGGCCTGTTATTCTAAAAGCGAACAATACTGGAGACAAATGCTAAGAGTATGCTCCTCACCTCTGGTTCCTCTTGATTTTCTTCCTCTTCATCACCAGAATCCATATAGATCTTCCTCTTTTTGCGTACACGTTTGCCCAGCCTCTCACCCTCAACGGCTTGACTCTCCCTCGCTTCCCCCGGAGATGATCTGTAGAAAAGAAAGATTTGACTCCTGATAAAACAACAGAATCATCTGAAGGACAACGAAAAGGCGTTAGAGAATACCAGCTGTGTGCTTTTACCTGCCACTGGAGGGCTGAGCACAAGTGGAGCTACAGAATTTGCCCTGAAAGAGGGCATCTCGGGGAACACGGCCACCGCAAGCCCGGCACCTTGACACCTCCGCATTCGGGCCCATGTCTGCGCTGGAGCCGACTTCAACACTGGGACCAACCTCCACACTGGGGCCCTCCGTACTGGGGCCCTCCTCTAAAGACAGAAGCACAGGGCCGGGGGCTGAAGGACAAACCAGAAAGAAGGACTGAAACTGAAAAGCTTAGCTGTACATAAATAAATACTAACAATTCTTTACAACAACAATGTTGTAAGGGTTAAACACGTGTCGTCATACCTTTAGCTTGAGACGATCCTGGCTGACTCTGATTGACCGGAGCTGTGGCTTTGCCAGTCTGTGATTGGCCCTCTGGTGGAGGGGTGGGAGTGTGAGACTGCGCTGGGTCCAAGGTCTCAGAGTTAGGCTCTGCCTGCTGTCCTTTGACCTCTAGGTCTGTGACAATCTCAAGAATCCCAAACTCTGTCATGCGGAACTGAAAGACACAGTGAAAAACATTTGTGCTCATCAGGGTTCCTCCCAGGAAACTGTTAATCCGAGGTGGTGCACCACCTCAATCCTGATTAATCTCATCTCCTAAAGAATTTAGTTAGAAGAGGACAACCTAATAGTAGTCACACTATATGACCTGTTTGAAATAAGTCCCCCCCCGCCCAAGATTAATGTTTCTTTTGCATTTTTGTTGTTTTAATTTCAGGCAAGGTGGCTCAGGGAACGGGAAATCCTGCTCCTACTAATCTCTGTGTGTGATCAGAGACTTGAACCCAAATATTTACACAATCAGGGATGATCCTGGACAGGAACATAAATCTCTCTCGTACCCGAATGTCACTGCCTGGCAGCGTGGCAATACCATCCTTCCAGTCCAGAGCACCCATCATATCAAACTCAGCTCCCTGGGAGGGGCCATCACTGGGTGGAGTATCCGTCATTCCCACTCCTCCGATATCCCCGAACCTGCAAAGCCATAATAACAGTCACATCAAAGACTGTCGTACTGACAACTGGCTTAAATATGTTACACATAATTACACAAAATACAACAGAGGTTGAATAAAAATGTTCTGTCCAAATCGCTGATTTAAATTATAGCATTATTCTGCATCCAGTGTGTTGAAGTGCATGATCATCACAGTGGAGCAGCCTCCCTGTGTGCTTTTAGCTGAAAAGTGCTCCTAACAACAAATGCAGTTTCTACCTGCACTTGTAAACAGTATTGCCCAACATCACCGCTAGATGGCGACTGTGTGCTGGCTTGAGGATACACCATGCACTTCGATTTCAGACAAAACAGTCAATAATAATATTGTTTTGCTGGTCAACTAACAGGTAAATACGTGCACAAACGGCGGCATTAGGGTGAACCTTCATCAGGACCACTGACAAACATGACGAAAGATGTGTCAACTTTAAGTTAACCACACAAGTTCATCTTTTCCTTGTTTTAACAGTATCTCCTAAAAACGGCTGTTTGCCTGTTTATGAACAAGTGAGAGGGTAATTTGTTCATCAATTTTAAAGAGAACACTGTTTTCTGAACTAACTGGCCAAACTTAAAAGCGTTTTAATCCGACTAATATTACGATATAACGTTTTAGTGTTGACGCATGTTCAACACTGAATTATGGTGATATTTTCTGTTTGCCAGGTGGTCGTAACCATGTGAAAAGTAAACAACAGCCCGAGCTAATAGATATTGATGAAGTTTGACTTTGCATTTAATACCTCAGTTTTATTCTAGCCATAAATAAAGTGTATGTAAGAGCGCCCATGATTAGCATTCCTCTTATACAAAATGGCGGAGCATAGGAAGAGGCCACCAACACGTTTAAACTATGTAAATTACTCAAGTTACCAATTTAAACAAATCGTGCAAAGCCGCTACGCGTCGAACAAAACCAAACGCTTGCGGTGTAATTTCCTGACTTAGTGTTTTCCTTCACTCGGGTTATTTTCTTCACTTTCCCCTTGTCACGGAATGTCAGCCCAGGTTGCTAGCTAGTGCTGACATTAGGCTAACAGTCAGCTAGCTCCACTCCGTTCAACTGCACTGGGGGGCGATTGCTAGACAGCTAGCCGTAGCATTGTGACTGGATGCAGCCAGCTAAGGACAATCTGTAATAAATAAGTTTCCCGGTTAATAACAGGAGGAAAACGCATTTTGCTAAACGCCAATATTTCGCACAATATCACACGCAGTCTCAATAACACCGCGCCGCTGTTACGAGCTTCAACATTGTTGCTTTGATTAATTTCTTCAATAGAAACTTGAAAAAAAAAAAAAACGATTTATTCTCGCCGTTTAAAATCAGAGTGGAAATAACGTGAACTAACGCTAATTAGTAAGACGAAGGTCGGTTTTTCACATTTCGCCACTGTTAATAGCAATAAATGAGTATTAACGCTCGTATTGTTTTAAAAATGTGGAACTCACCTCGTTTCTGTTTTAACTCTTATTTAGAGCTGGATAGAAGGATGCGCATGCGTGCAAGATGCGCTGCTTGACAACTTTGGGTCTCGGAAAAGTTCAGTTTACTATCGGTGGTCAATACCGGGCCTGTTTACACTTATAACACGCCCAAAACTCAGCTCAGTGCCGATAATAACGAGTGCTGCCGACTGGGGCTGGAGCTCATATTCCCTCTTTGCTCACAACAGCCTCACAAGTAATTTTCCCTCAAGAAGTACGAGTGTGTATCAGCGGAGCGCAGCAACCGCAGTGTCTTCCATTACCGTTGAGGAGCGGTTGGTTCCCCTCGGCTCGAACTGACCGTTTGCTCCCCACTTTTTTTTTTTTTTTTAAATAAATAAAATAAAAACCGTTAAAAACAACCAGTGTATGTGGCTGCAGTCCGAGCACAGACGATAAGCAGTTTGTACACGCCGGTGCTAACTGTAGGATTAAATACTCAGGCCTGTAAAAATCACCCGAAGTGACATTTTTAAAACCCCCCCCCAAAAAAAAACAAACAAAAAAAACGACCCGTTTATGTTGCTACACACACACACACACACACACACACACATACAGTCTTTTTAATAAACACATCTACAGTTATGTCGGTTGGTGCGTTTGAGGTCTATTAAAACTAGTGGTGTTAAATGAAACCGAGCGAGATGAACACACACAGTTCAGCCTAATAAATAAATAAAATAAAAACCCGTAACGGTCTAATGCGATCAAAACAATACTCTGTATTATCACCATTTTAGCTTAAATTAGACACCAGTGCATCGTGCTGAGTGGTGCCTCCTCCTATGGCTTCTTCCACAGTGGGATGTGTGCTTTATGGTTTTAATGTGACAGCTAATCAATTGAATTAAAATCGTGACTGTGAATGCTCCTCGTCCTGGGGAGGTTTCTTTGGGGTTGATTTGAAGTTATTTGATGACTCGCTGGTGGACCTTCATGTTGAGCTATCCTGCAGTATTCAATCCCTCCCACCATAAGGGCGGTTTTTGGTTGGGTTTTTTTTTCCTCCGATATAATAAGGCTGCACATCTCTTACAGCCCGTTTTCAGCCCCACTTTTGATGGAAACACACTCGCGTATTAACGCAAAATCGCTCCGGTCTCCATGACTATGTGTTCAGTTGCTAGCTAACAGGTACACAGTGAGATAAGTCTTTATTTTAGTCAACAAAGGCCGCCCTGATATGAGGTGAAATGAGTTCAGTGCTCGGCTGTAGAAGCGGCGGCGCTGCTTCGTGTCTTGTGATGGTCGCTAGATGGCGGAAGAAGTCCAGTTTCTGGTGCTGCTGGTGCTGGTTGGTTGTGGTTGGTAGGGGGGGATTAACGGGGTCGTGAATCGTGTTGCAGCCTGCATTGTTTTGTAATATAACATCCAAGTACAAAAACCATGAGATGGCATTTAAAGGCAAAGCGGTCGACTCGAAGGTAAGAGGGTTAGTTAGTTTAATGTGTCATGATTTGTCCGGTCCGATCAGCCGTCTCTGTGATCTGCTAATCGGGAATCGACTGTGCGATAATAAATGTAAAAAAAAAAAAAAATACACTTAGAGGATATGACAGGTTATATCATGCCTGAGGTTTATTTTAAGTAATGTGCAATAAAATCTCTCACTTATTATAATGCAATTGTATGCAGCACGTTAGGGTTTGTTTGTGTGTTTGTGTGTCTGTGTGTCTGTGTGTGTGTGTGTGTGTGTGCAGCAGCTAGATAGTCGCTGTCTCTACCTACAGTGCACATCCCTCCCACTGCAGCCTGGTAGCCTATCACATGTAAGACTGCACACACACACACAGCTCCAGGTTAGTGTTTGGTAATGTTGCGTTAGGTGGAAAATATGCGGTGTTGCCCTTCTAGACAAATTAAATGCCGTGTTGTGAAATATTCTCCCCCCCTCTCTTCTTCCCGTGTCTCAATCCCACAGACCGTGCTCTTCAATCTGCTGCTCTGTCTGCTCATATTTTACTCTCTTTTCTACATGATTGGGAGTGTGTGCTTCGGTGCCTTCAGGTGAGAATCCCTCACACGCATGCGCATAGCACACACACGCAAAAACCATTATCTTCATCAGCCTCTGATGGAAATGTCACAAGCTCCTGAATAAATGCCATTTAACATAAAGTTAGAATTATGTAGGAGGTCTGGAAAGTCATCGCTAATGGATCTCCACAGTGGTGTAAATATCTGTAGCCAGAGACCAAATGCATAAATAACTGCAGAATTATCTAATGGGGTTTGAAAGGATTCAGCATTTGTTTCATGTACCAGACTCTCTAAGAAACAGCAATCTAATGCAATCAGCTTAATATGGTGATTACAATCCGGCAAAGTGGGGAAACTGATCCCCAAGAGCTCCAGGTTCACTGCATGGTCAATAGTCAATAAGTTAATGAACATCTTCCAACAATATTAACAACTAAAACACAGCGTCAGTGGAAATGGTGAGGTTTTTAACACGTGTGCTGTGTCTTTAGCTCATGCTGAGGCCCTCACGTAGAGGGGCCCTCAGTCAAAATAGATCTAAATACTGATAATATATAGCAAAACAAGGAAGGTAGTATGTCTTCTTTTTACTGGTAGATAAAATAAAATGTCACGTGTAGTCTTCAGTTTGTACTTGACTATCAGTGGTACTTAATCTGTAGTTATGGGATACATTCACAATGGACAGAAAGCAAGAGGTACAGTGAGAGAGAGGTACAATCCATAGTGGGTTAACCTGGCCGCGGATCAACCATTGCAGCAGTGATTGCATTATCTCAAACGTGTTGACATTGTTCTATCCACACCATGTAGCCTTTATCTGAAGACTCTCACAAGCTGAGATAAATGCTTACACACTTTACGGTGGTTTGACACACTTTTTTTTTTACCCCTCACTCAGGTTGGATCACTTTGACGGACTGATTCCATTCGACTTTAAGACCGAACCCACTGAATCTAACTCCAAATACTTGGGTGAGCATACTGAATGCAGGCTATATGATCGACAGTGAGCATATGAGCTTTTCTCACTTCCTGTGTTTGGTCCTTCTCAGTGAACCTCCTGTCCTTGGAGCTCACCTACTTTTGCAGCGGCCTTTTGTTTGCTGCAGTGGTGCGGAGGCGAGTCTGGGACTACGCCTTCACTGTTACACTTCTGCATGTAATGATCACCAGCCTAGGTGAGCAGAAATCTAACAGTACATCTATCCAGGTACACACACACAAATAACTGAATGTGTTGTAGAATAAAACGTTTGGTTTCCTTGTTGCAGTGATGTTGGAGTTTCCCATGGTGTGGCAGTGGTGGCTGGCTTTAGGTATAACAAATATCACAGGCAGCTTATCTGTAAGTTATTGCATTAACTTTATGAGCGTAGTTCTTTTTAATGCTTTATATTTATTGTCGTTCTACAGGTAGCGGCTTGTTTCTGATGATCTGTAATGGTCAGCTCATAGCTTACTTCACCTGCCAGAGCGACCAGAGCTTCGCCTCCTTCAGCATCTACTGACAGACCGAAAACTACTCTGTGTACAAAACTCTGTTTCACAAACAGTCGGGTGAAGTGAGGTAGAAAGGATTAGACCAGATGCTCTCTTCCTGGAGACACCCATTAGATTCTCCACGGTAATGGGCTTTTTCTGTTTGTCACTAAAAAAAGACTGCTTACCATTACACTCAGTCAGAGCTGGGTCCAATTTGTGTTGTTCAAGGAGATGTTGTCTGTACTTTGCTTCTGATGCACTGTGCCGGATTTTAAGGCACCCCGTGAGGTATTTTCAGTACTTTTGTAAGCTGTGAATGTAATGGCAGAATGGGCAAGTTGCAATACATGTTTGTTGTATGTGTTAAAGACGTACATGTAAAGTGTTTCAAAATAAAAGTGCTTTAGACTGAGTGTTTATTGTTTCATCTTCTTACACATTAAGGTAGCTTAGACTTGTGAAATAGTGACCAGCCTATTTCACATCATGAACTGATACTTAAAATAACAGTAATAACGTAAAAATACACTATCGATTAGTAAAGTGTAACCAATGAAACATACAGTACATTGCAGTGTTAGTGTACGAACATTTTGCTTAAAAATAAACTTTGATTTAATAATTTATGACATAAAAAATAAATATTTGAACAAACATGCTCCCAGAGGGTTTGGCGTTGTTATGAAACCAGCTCGGCTGCCACGTACTCCACTGGGTTCATGAAGGAGAATCCTGGGAAGGCCTCGCTGGTCGCGCCTGCCTGGCACCTGTCATTCACGGAGGCGGGGACAGGCTGTAGCGTGAACTCTGGGTCGATGTAGCTGATGTCACAGGGACCAGTCTGGAGAGGAGAGAGGAATAGACACTCTGTGCACTGTGCGTTGATTAAAAATTATAAAATAGTGTTCTCCACTCATTTCTGAATCACTCCTACCACTTTTGGGATGAACGGGGGTCTGACTTTCTTGGCCAGAAGGTCGTCCCAGTTAATGGATGCAAAGAAGGGATGTTCCTGCAGCTCCACCTGGAGACATTTTGGAATCAGACCCTCTGTAGTTATGTCTTAATGTGCATCATTGTGTGTTTTTTTTTGTGTGCACTTACAAGGTCACGGCTCGCCCCTATGCGTTTGAAGAAATCTCTTTCCAGCAATCCCTCTAGCAGGGAGCAGGCAGCCTGAGATGCTCCACTAGGCAGCTGCAGAGGAGCGTAAAGTATGTTCTCAAACATCTCTGCTTTGCTACGGCTATAAAATGGAGGCTAAGAGAAAGAACAGGGAGATGGAGTAAGGTGAAGGTGATTAAGAAGGTAATAAGATCAAAAGGGAAAAATAATTATCTTCTCTGCACTCACCAGTCCATAGAGCATCTCAAAGAGCACAGTGCCAAGACCCCACCAGTCCACTGCTGGACTGTATGGGTGGCCTTGTAGCACCTCTGGAGCGAGGTACTCAGGAGTCCCACAGAAGGTATGCATAATCTCACCGATGGCCACGCCTTCTTTACATAGCCCAAAGTCAGTCAGCATTACGTGACCCTCACTGTCGAGCAGGATGTTCTCTGGTTTGACGTCTCTGGCGGAGAAACAGATGGGGCATAAGTGTCAGTTTGGTCCGGCAAAAACACATTAACAGATTTTACTGTTGTCTTTGTTTCATTTTCTTCTGGTTTCACCTTGCTTTCCTTTACTGTTTATTTTTTAATGGGGTCTTTGGAGGACACAGGTTTTTAGTGATATCATTTTCTATGCAGAGCTCTCTTATCAAAGTGAACCTCTTTGGGATTTCCCTGGATAATCAATTAAACATGCGAAAATGTTTAAATCAAACATGAGCAAAGAAAGCGAGCAAGCATTGAGTCAGAAAAAAACTTGTAAGAGTGACTTTGCGATGGCTTGTCTATTTGTGTGTGACTGTGTGTGTGTGTACCTGTATACAATGTCAAGAGAGTGGAGGTAGCCCAGCGCCAGGGCCATCTCTGCAGCGTAGAAGGCAGCCCTGGGTTCAGGAAATGACCCCTCCCTCTGAAGGTGGAAGAAAAGCTGAGGACAAGCAGATGCGTGGTTACAGTCACACATTAGCAGCACAGTGGAGAAACTGGTTACAACTGGTTGATTCTGGTTTAGCCTTGAGAAATATATAGCTAGGTCTGTTGTTCTTCAGGATATAGATGGAGAGAAATAATAGTTAAAGACATACCTCCCCTCCATTAACGTAGTCCAGGACAAAGTAGAGCGTGTTAGGTGTCTGGAAAGAGAAGTGGAGCCCCACCAGGAATGGATGTTGTAGTCCCTTGAGCAATACGCTCCTCTCAACCATCACATGCCCCTGCTACAGAGACACAACAGATACAGTGAGTATGTGGATAGATAGATAGATAGATAGATAGATAGATAGATAGATAGATAGATAGATGAAGATAGATAGATTACCTCTTTCCTCTTGACAATCATCTGTTTTTGTAGCACTTTCACAGCATAGTAGCCTCCGTGTTTTCTACGTCTTGCCAGCAGCACCTGTGAAAGTTTGAGCGGTGCCATTTAATGTCCGAACAATAAACACACAAACAAAAAGAAGAAGCACAAAAAGAAGAAGAAGAAATCCCTACCTTTCCAAAACTCCCTTTGCCGATAACTTTGAGGTAGTCAAAATCTGATGGTTTCATCCTGGTTAACACAACGAAAGAAAACGGTCAGATATGTGTTGTGATACTGTACTACTTTCTAATAAGGCGAACTCCTGAACTACACTAATAACTTAATTTACGGTTAATATTTAATATGATTTATTAATCCTATGCATATTAATAATTAGGCTATTATAATGCATGGATAGAAAGGTGGCAAGATTGTGACTGACAGTTAGTAAATTACAAAGATATCTGATTACTTAAGGCAGAACAAAAGTAACCAAAGTTTATTTTTTTCAGACACATTTTTCCTTTTTTGGTGAAACGTTGAAGGTTGTTAATCCATCCAGTCAAAAAGTATTATTATTATTTATTTAAAAAAACAGATCTTTTTGTGTTACTCAACAGACAGCTGCAAAAAGAATAGTGAGGGAAATGACTTACTGTGAGGTTTCTGTGTTCAGTGAGCTCTGAGGGGAGAAAAGACACACATAGGGGCATGAGGGTCAGGAGGTCAGATTTAGTTTCATCTCCTGTCAACACTCATCACTCCCACTGTACTCACAGCTGTGCCTTTCTCCTCTTTCTCTCTTCTCATCCTGCTGTGTCGCTGCAAGATTTTCTGTGGGTCTAGGCTACAACCAGGAGGTCACAGACAGTTTGGATCAGATTCAGCACAAAGTAAAAAGCTGTTATTGAATTAATTTAGTAACTTGAAAAACTTACTGTTGGCAGAGTTGTTGATTGGAAACAAATTTGTGTAAGAAGTCACTGAAGCCAACTTTCTTCCCCTTAAGCAGAGCTATAAAACAGGCAGTGGGTTAAGTTAGCTCCTTACATAAGAGCTCAGCAGCTGTAATACTCAGGTTAGCAAGTGGTCGCCTTGAGCAAGACTTTAATGAAGTTAACTGTAGCTAATGTTGGCTAACTTTTAACTTTTGAGACATTTTTTGAATAGTTTAAAGACTCCAATCATTTTTATATTACTTTAAAACAACCTCTTTCTATTTCATGTTCATTTTGTCTCTTTTAGCAGGGTTTTTGTACGTTATCTTTTTGTCTGTGTCTCTATATACGTCTGTTATGACTAATCAGCTAACAGCTTACTAGTTAGCATTAACGTTAAACTTAAATTAACCCAGTTATCGAGATAGTTAACCTCACCTGAGAAAAATGACACAAGCCCTCTCATTTTCGCATAGGTCATCGGCCGGTCTTGAGTCACGGTCATCTGGATGAATATGGGCTGACTGAGAGGTTTGTTGTAATAATGTAAAAATAAAAAGAGAGGAGAAGTGTAGTTAGTGGGCAGTGGAGAGTGGAGACAGACTGTCCAGCAGCAGAGTCGCCCCACTTGTCTCAAACTATCAGTGCTCCTCACTTAAAAGACTTTTGACGCAAGCGACGTAGAGTGCCGGCAACGCTGCGTTCACTGTCCCTCGGAGATACCGACATCGTGCGAAGTGTGCGCACATGAGCGGCCTACATGACAGCCAGCGTTGGTGGGCAATTCTCACTGTTAATTTCTACTCCCACTTCATTTTTCATAGGGGGATTTTTTTTTTTACTATTTCACAGCTGCAGTTACTTTATAAATCTTTGATTATTTTTCAGCTCCTAGTGTTTGTGGCTTGTTGTGACCCCTTAGGGTACAAAAACAACACTGTCTAAATGAGTAATATTATTCAGTTAACACAAAAATCACCAAGATCTAAGAAAAGTCCAATAATTTAAAAGAGATTTATGCAGCAAACTTGTTGTTTTTTCTTGTTCTCACATTCCCCAGGTTAATATAGATTATTGATTGGAAATGACTGGACTACATTACTGTATATAAAAACCCAACTAGCTGCAATTGTGTAGTGCTGCTTACACACTGAGGTATAATGTAATATATAATCTGCCACAAGGAACTTTTTTCTTTAGTTTTTCTTATGTAGGGTTTTGAATAGGACTTATAATGGAGTATTTCTACATGATTGTGTCAGTTATTTTACTTAAGGAAAGGATCTGAATACTTATACCACTGATAGCCAGTATGTACTGTAATAATTCACTTTTATCTGCCTCTGGAGCAGTCAGGAGTCCCTGTGAGGCCTGAGTTGTAGATATATAAGTGACGGTTTAATCAGGTTTCTAGAAAATGGACAGCTTTGAAGCAACGTCACCATCCCATAGGAAACAGTTGCTCGGTTGCTTTAAATTCATTGTCATGAAATAGACATATGAAATCTCTGTTTCATGATACTTGCTGTTTCTTTTTAGCAAGCTTTTATTTTTATCAGTTTTTACTGATGTTCACTTAAACCCAACATACATTTGTTTGCAGTATATATTAGAAATTAAAACGTGTACAAGCATTGAACAGCTGCATTATTCAAATCATTACACTTTTAAAAGATACCCATCCTCCCACCACACCCCACCCCACTCCATACCCAACTCCACTACCCCAACCCTCTCATCACCCCTGCTTGTTCCCTTAAATCCAGATTTTCACAACATATATTATTGTCTTTTTAGCTTCCTCTTTAATTCATTCGTTCTCATTCTGTTTTTTGATTACCTTATGTAAAACGGCTGCAGATCCTATGGACCATAGTCCATTTATTAACAATTTGATACAACTGCAGATTTCATTGATTGCTGCAAAAAATATATTAACGATTTATTAACATTTATAATTGTGAATATCTGAAATTATAATAGTATCTTGACAAATTAGAGCCCTTTATTAATGACTTATCAGACTAATAGGCTATTTATAACTGCAGACTTGTTGGCTTATAATAAAGTGGAAAAACACTCATTACAAGTATTAGTAAAATGTTTATAAACGGTTACTAAAGCCATTAATTACAGCTTAAATGGTGTCCTAAGCTATCTGATTATAAACACAATTAAATTAATTAATGAACAATATAGTACAGATCACGTTCAGTTGTAAATAATAGCACAGTATTGGTTATTGGATATAATTACTTTCACAAAAGGGACCAAAAAGTATCCACAGTGTAAAATAGGCTCATATGCAACAAGTGGTATAATAATTCAGGTCGTGTGTCTGTTGGCACGTGAAGGCAGCATAGTGAGCTCGTGCCCCCTTTAGAAAAGCGGACCTGGTGCTCACGAGCTTACTGCCCTGTAGTCACGCGGTCAGAGTAGTAACCCAGTTTCTTATGAAGGAAACTTTCTTTCTTTCTTTCTTTCTTTCTTTCTTCCCTCGGGCCTCTTTATCTCGGGTTTGGGTTTCTCCTCACGTATTTCCAGTCACAGCAGGTTAGAGGGAGGTCTGTACCAGTAAGTCTGTGAGTGGGTGGCAGCAGTGATGGTGGGACATTATTAATGCGTGTGTCTGTCTGTTTAAATATGCCCTTTATGTAGAATAGGGGGATAAAAACAAACGATACCATATGAACTGACCAATATGGTTGGAAGGGAATGGTGCATGCGCAGATTGGCTCTGTGTCCTTCACGCTACACAGCACACATCATTTTCCTTGATGAGAGATTTGGGTCACGGAAACTATAATACATGTGTAAATTCATGACAGCATATGACAACTCTGTATCTGTCTTGCTGTCTCATGTGGCCTCTGCATGCCTGAGGAATATCAGGGCCTGTCCACACCACCACAGACCCAGTTTTATGGTTGTGATATATGACACAACCCCTGTAGCACTGAACATAAAGCTATACTGGCTGGTTGTTTTATATCACAGCGGTTTATACGCTCCAGACATTCACTATCAAATCCAAATTCTCCTTGCTGGGGACTGAAATTACATAAGCACAAGTTTATATCTACATGTGATTACATAATGACTGGAAATAGTAAACGGATGAACTATCTTGAGTCTGGCACAGTTGGTGGTAAACAAATTCCTTGAGAGAGGGACAGACAGGTATAATTAATCAGTTCCATCATTAAAAAAAAAAGACATTAAAGATGATACACACATATAGGAGATAGAAGGAGTAACTGGGTTACTTTGTTGTGAGGTAAAATAAAGCCCAATGGTTTAACAGGACATGTTGTCTTAATCTGGAAATGAGTAATAGAAAGTGTAAGAGGATAATAAGAGGGTGTGAATGAGATATGGGACATGAAGTGCAGATACTGAAATAACGTCAAGTTTGTCCCTGTGTCCCTGTGTCTAAATTTGGAGCCGCTGGGTTCAGGGCAGAGTTGGTACAGGGTGTCTTGGTTACTGTTGCAGAAAGCTGATCCTCGGACAGCAACAGGGGGCGGTTCCTCTCTGTTACAGCGGTGGCGAGGGGGAGAGGAAAGAGAGGAGGAGAAAAACCCTCCCTCCCCCATCCCCCTGTCACTCCAAAGTGAACTGGTTTCTGCTAGTCTGACCGCCCGCCCTTAGTCTGAGACCTCTTGTCCCATCACTCTGACAGCAGGAGAACTGGCCCGGGCTGGTTTTGCCTCTCCAGGCATGCAACAGGTGACAGTGAACACAACACACAGATCTCAACAGTCTAAAAGCATTCCTACAAGAGATCACTGAACCCCACCAGCAGGACTGCCTGACAGGAGGCAAAGCTTTCATTGTCTGACTCTGGTACCAATCTCATTTACACCTTTTTAAACCATCAGTAACTTTTAAATCAGAGATGTCTCGGAGCTAAAGAAATGTCACATCTCATTTACAGTCAGAGATCTCGGAGTCTCTTCAGCTGCAGACAGATTTTTGGTTGACCTTGGAGATGTTGGGTCAAAGCAGTTTGGTTTCAGACTTCCTTCAGCAGCAGAAATAGACTTTAAGCACAAGTTACAGTAAACTAAAGCACAAAGACACCGCCTGGATCTATTGTTGTTGGGTAGGATAAGAGTTGGGTTATTTATTTATTGTTACATCAGCTCAAGATACAACACTATAGATAAAACAAAATACAAATTAAATAAAGATAAAATAGGAAAATACAAGATATAATATGAATATAAAACAAGAGTAATATGTACGCTATATACACAGATGATGCACAGATTAATACACATGGTGTGTAGCATTATAATAAAATAAAAACTACTGTCTTGAAATATTTGCATAAAGATTACTGTAAGAGATAGTAGCACAGTGTGAAAATAAAAAAATAACATAATAAAAATAAATATAATTGCACAGGACAAAAATATACAGCATAAGTGTAATTAAAAGGGAATATAAGCTATATTACACATTAATGCAACAGCAATAATAATTCAGAAATATAGTAGCCTAGTCAGAAACGTACTTTGTCCATATGAAGAATTTTTACACTGTAGTATTTTTGTTTATTTTTAATATTTTTGTTGACAGGGCAGCTGAATATAGACACTAAAGGTGGAGAGAGAGAAGATGACTCGCAGTAAAGGGCCACAGGTCAGACTCGAACCGATGGCCACTGCAGACAGGACTCACCCTCAGCTTATGGGGGGTCGGGTCCACCAGGTGAGCTACCAGAGCACCCCATCATTATACTGTAGTACTGATAATTTTCCTTAAGCAAAGAATCTGATTACTTCATCCTCCACTTATGTGATTATACTTTTGGTTAGCAAATCTTATTTTAGACCTGTGTGCTCCATAAGAGGGAAAAATATGATATTTTTTAAGGCTTTGATAAGGTTTTGTGTTACAGATCAGTTAACACACTGGTGCCTATAGGAGTTGTTGGTAATGCTTTAATGTAGTAAGTAATGTATTCTACATACAGTATGTACAGTTCATGCTGAATACACACATGACAGCAGTAATACTTAATCTATCCTGTAGATGGTGACAGTTAACCAGAGGAACACGTGAAGTAGACTGAAACCTTTCTATTTTATTTTTATTTCTGTAGGAATCCTCATGCAGCCCGATGCTTCATCTGTCCTCATATAAACTGACAAAAACAGTATCCTGTCATCAGCCTGTTGTCAGTGAATAGATCTGATCCCAATCACACTAGTTTAGTATCAGAAAAGGACACATTTCTCTCTTCACATAGCTGTGTGGCTTTATTGAACTTGAAGTGGGTCATCCAAGTGAAGAATCAGGAACCTCTATTTAATATTTTCCTTTGAGAAGAACAACAACAGTTCAATAGTCAGCGAGTCGATTGATAAAAAAGGATGATTCTGATAGTTGATTAATGATTTAAGTCATTTTTCAAGCAAGTTATTACTGCTTTCCAAAGTTTCATATTATTATAAATTTAATGGGTTTGGTTGGGGTGTTTTTTTACTGCTGGTTGGCCTGCAAGAACATGTACTGCTTTTTTCTCTTTATAGATTAAATAATAAATCAAATAAGTCAAATATTTTATACCACACTTATCTACTCTCTCAATATGATATGAAATGTATAACTGGCTCACTTCTCAATTGTGCTGCTGCAGT